CCTGACTTTAAAGCTGCATCCGCCCCTGGCCTGGACACGATTTTTTCGAAAAAGACAACAATCGGCTAAGCTTTTATATTTAAGGAGATTATTCGCAGATGTTCGACTGAATCAAGCCCTATCTCACATAGCGATGTGAGACTTTAGGATGAAATGCTATGAAATAGCGACGTAATGTTTGTAGTTAAAAACTGTTTTTTTTTTCAGAGGCACAACTACAAGGTGGTCTCTGAAACAATGGTAGAAACAGTGCTGTCCAGTGAAATCACGCGCAGCCAGCATGAAGAAGTCAAAATTGCACACGAAAACGGTCAGTTTTATTATCTGTATCACGCTTGGAAAATCCCGTGCCTTTACCAAAAAAATACTGAAAAACGTCTGCTCCCATTCACACCCTTTGTTTTAGACAGATTCAATTTTTCGCATTCAATCACTTTGTATTTTGGTGCCAAATTACGCCCATTTCACTGTATCGCCTGACAAAGATTTTAACAGACTCTAAAGTATCTCCCATTAGCCCCCCATATTCCCCTTAAATCGGGTTATGCTGAGATTTGCGACTGCTTGGTGGTGGTTCGAATTGACTGGTTACTTTTGTTTTACAGCAGCATTCATATCAGTATCTGGAAAAGCCCAGAGCTAAAGTAAGTGTAGCAAAACGTAGCTGCTTAGTTTTTGAGCAAAAATCTGTTTAGAACTTGCACGAGTTTTAGAGCTGTTTTCGCTTTAGAGTATATATTTTTTCTCAGTCGCGCGATTAGTTTAGTTTGAAGTTTCCCTCAAAAAACGGTACACGGTGCAACGTAATTATAAAGATGCCAGCTCTGGATACGAAATAGACTCTTCTTTTCCAGAGTTTGGTATATGTATTTCAGGCTCAGTCAGCAACGCAACAAACGTTAAACGTTAAGTTAAAACAGCATCTTTGTAGGCCGTCTGTAGTCCCAATGAAATTGTGTACCTACTACTTTTTAAAAGTTCGCGCTAGCTTCCAAACTTTTAAATCCTCTACTAAAACGATATCTTTTTAGTTAAAGGGTTGCTTATCAAGTTAACCAGATTTGCGCTTGCAAAGCCTCCTAAATTGACTTTTTCTTACCCAATTGGTTTCCGACGTTGGCTTTAATCGCCACTCTTGAACTTTGCCAACTCCTCGATCAAAATTCATGAAAATTTTAGCAAAGTTTCAATGCGTCTTCTTTTTAGGAAACATTAAAGAAAACCATGAACTAATTGATTAGAATCGTTGATTTTCAATCTCGACACAGTTCCATGACTTAAAGTGCTTACTTTATTATATTTAATCTGACGTTGTCTACCCAAGGAATTTATCGCTTTAAACAAATATTGTATGTGGTGAGTTTAAATTGTTTCAAGCCTGGCTTAGTGTCAAGATCAATTGCTCGTTTTCCAGCAATTATTCCTAATTTGGAGCTGGTTTTAAATTGGCGCTTTATTAACTAGTGAATTGTTTATGTACAAATGGTGCGCTGCTACGGTGATTGAGGACATGCTTATAGTTAAAGGAGAAGGTCTGAAATGTCCCCGAGTTAGTGGTAGTCACATCGACTTGTATCCTCTTAATCTTTGGAGACGCAAACATAAACTGGCTTCTAAGGAAGAGGTAAATTATTGATTGATTGATCCGATTTCACCCAGGTGAGGAACTTTCCATGATTACATGGTTTATTCATGTGGACAAAGTGCGCAATTTCAACGTGCCGCTCACGATACAGCAATCTCCTATATCTTCGTTTTTCGTGGAACGTTTGCTACCTATAAATCTCCATGTTGCGTTTGAAAATATCTTTGCAGAACATAACTTTAGGAAACGACTTTTCATCTGATATTTCTACTCTAAACATAAATAAACTGACAATGGTTGCATATTTCAGAAGAAGTTCTGAAGCTTTTCTTTGCGACTAACACTAGAATATCCGACGTTTATTTCAAGCGGCTCTTCCTTGTCTGTTGCTGAATTAATTATTATTGATTTGAACAGTTTTGGCGAACCAAATTTGAGGTAAAACGGAAGAAAATTGCTTTGTGTTTGTGCTTGAGAGCATTTTGAACATTCTTGTCAATGTTTGTTACCTGTAAATTGGCGAAATGTTGACGTTAATACAACTAATTTATGTCCCTATTTAATCGCCTTATCTGGCGAACAAAAGATTCAAGAAGTTAGAAAACAATCCCTAATAACGTCAGTGATGTTTTGTTGTGTCGCAATATAAAAGGCTTTGCAGCTCTACTTCTCTTTGTCATTTGCCATTTTATCATTTTTTAAATTAATATTTCGATGTTAAATCCTAGGCAGTTAATTTAAATCCTCATGGCCGAACTGATGGGGTTTTGTATAAAATAGGACGAAAATCAACACTAGCAGATTTGTTGTGAAATTTATCGTTTTCCTTAGTGGTAATTTGACAAATCAAAGGAGCTTGCAAGTACGTTCACTCTTTGATCAAATCGTTGATAGTTACAATGGCAGGTTTTAGCATTAAACAATTTTGAGGCGCCACAGTTCTGTTTAAAGCGTAAATAATATCGAAAGTAAACCAAACAGTGTTTACTGGACATTTGATTTTATGGACATCGAGTAGGGTTTCTGGACAGCTTCGGTAATTAGCGTTGGTGCTAAAGAAAGTGATTTGTTATGGATTTTCGGGTGGTGTAGAAAAGCAAAAACACCAGTTGGAATACGTTAAGTAATAGTAACAAAATGTTCTGGGCAAATCGACAAGAAAATTAAGTTTTGACATTTCTGTGTTCATTAAGGGTAAAATGTTGATGGTTGAATCATTAAACTCATTAAATGTCCTGGTGAAATGAAATTTCCTATTAAAGTGAGTTTTTTCTGACTTGAAGCAGCGGATTTTCGCTTCGGAGTTATATTATGGGCCGGATTGACGGATTATCTGTTTTACATTGGGGAATTTCTTAAAATTGGTGTTGCCCAACGACCTCAATCACGACTCAATCGCTTGAATTTAGAATCCGAAAAAATCCTGGAAACTCCCAGAAATTTCCTCTTAAAGTGCGTTTTTCTACACTTAATGCAGGGCATTTTCTCTTTCAAGTGATATTATGATCCGGATTGTAGGATTTTGGGCTTTTTCTTGTCAAATTTTTGAAAAATTCGTGTTTTCTAACGGCCAATCGTCTCGTCCTAGTAACTGAAAAAATACTGGAACCTCTAAGAAATTCCCTATTCTAGTGTGCTTTTCCTCACTTACAGCCGCCGATTTTCTCTTTCGAGTGATGTTATGGGCAGCATTTAGGAAATTTTGGTTTTTCCTTGGCGAATTTTTGAAAAATCCTGGTTGTCCAATGACCAATCGCTTCGGTTTAGTATCTGAAAAAATCCTGAATACTCCCAGAAATTTCCTATTAAAATCACATTTTTCTCATTTAAAGCCGCAGATTTTCCCCTTCGAGTGACATTCTGGGCAGGCTTGAGAGATTTTTGGTTTTTCCTTGACAATTTTGGTTTTTCCTTGGCAATTTTGGTTTTAATTCGTCGATCTTTACCAATGGCCAATCGCTTCCCCTTAGTGACTGAAAACATCCTGGAAACTCCCAGAAATTTTCTAATCAAGTGATTTTTTCCTCATTTAAAGCAGTCGATTTTCTCTTTCGAGTGTGTTATGGACCGCGATCAGGAATTTTTGGTTTTTCCTTGACAAATTTTTCAAAAACTCGTGTTCACCAACGGTCAAGCGACTCGCCTTGAAAACTGAAAAAATCATGAAAACTTCCAGAAATTTCATATTGAAGTGAGTTTTTCGAAAAAAGTCATCCAGTCAGAAGAGTGACAACTCATGTTTAACGTCCAAAATTCGCTGCAATCACCGACAAAACACAAACTTTTTTGTCTTCAATCGCATCGCTTCTCCCAGACCTTCATCATGCTTGCATTTTATTTGCTTCCCCCTTAACAAGGTCCACTTGATCTGCCCGCATTTTATATTAAAAAAAAGATTAATTCTGCTTCAAAACATGGAAAATGTGATTTTTTTAAACGAAAATAAAATTTCTCATTTGAAATTCCCACATTGAATTCGTACTGATTTGCACCATAATTCCTCCCTTCGTGCGTCATCGTAAAGCCGTTGTTAAACACGCAACGCTCTAAACATGCTTTATCAGAGCAAACACTCCGGTTTTCTTCATTTCAGAATATAAACAGTAACCCTGAAGGTTTATTTTGTACATTACAACATATTATCATTACAGTTTATACCGACCTTCAACCTCGCACAGCAAATTTGCAATTTGGAAGTAAATTTTGCGCTTTTTGCTAGAGGTTAGGGCGTTGTATTTTATTTACCCAAACGTTTAATATGCAAATACGACTGCTAATTATTAGGCTGCAAATCGAACCTATAAACGCCCCGAAGACAGCAAAATTGGCATTTTTTAAGGGTTTTATTAAATGTTTATTCATGGCCGCACCAAGTTTCAATTAGCCTTTTAACACGTTTTTTTATTAATTCAGTATGACTCTAACCGAAGTTCAACAAAACTGTCGTATGAATAAGCTATCTGCATTGTTAAAACTGCCGCAGTGCAGGGAGAGTTTTCGTATCTTGTTTTGAAACTGCAATTATTGTATTGTGTTATGAAGAAAATAGCAAAAATTAGCGACCTTCTAGTTATGGTGCGAAGTTTATTCCATATTCAGTGTTAATTGTTCAACAATGGCTGCAGGATGTTTTAAATATAATTTTTGGTTATTGTTTGAATATTTTTGCTGACACACTTCATGCAATTGCACTGAACCATCGCTACTTAATCTTGTTTTGTTAAATCTTATTCAGTTTTTGTTAAGTTTTATGAATGTGCTCGACTCTCGTTATGGCTCTAAGCTCTAATGCATGATTCGTGGTGAAATTTTCAAAATAAACCATTTGATTTTCTGTTTTTATTTGCTTTCAAAGTGGCTCCAGAATAAAGTAGTTTACTGGCATGGCAAGTGGATACCAATTTTTGGAATTACGATGATATTCGGGGATTCTGTACAATATTGCTGACTTGGGGGCGTCTTTATTATCGAATCGTCGAATTTCAAATTAGGATCGCACGTTTGATTGCCTATTGCCCAAAGAATCGCACCACTTTCGCTTAACATAAGCTGGAAAACGCTACTTTATTTAATTAAATTAAGTTAGTTAAGGCCACCTTTAAGTCCTGTAAGTTCCTGTTGGAAGAAACTTCGAGTTTCTTTAATTAAATCTCACTGACTTGAGCATTTTCCACTGATCCCGCCCTGATGCTTTAACTGATTGCTTTGGCGATAGTTTCCAGGTTTTTTATATATATAGATCTGAAAGAATGCCTTACCTAAACTCATAAATTACATTCACTTTCGCATCTTCATTTTCTAATTTTTCAATTCTAAGTTATTTATAAGGTAGGTATAGGTTTTTTGTAAATCAAGATTTATAGTGCTTGCGAGGCGAGGCCGATTCTTAACTGAGGCATGTTTAACTGTTGCCATTTAATTGAACGTATTTTATAAAATTTCGCAAAAAGTTAATTAAGAAAAGAAACAAATTACACGAATTTTACGCGGAAAACTTCCTTGAGGGAGCAGTTCTATTCGCATTTTAACCGCGCAATATTTAACGACGCCGGTTTCCCG